CTTGTTGTCATATCTGATCGAAATCTTAGCATAGAAAATGGGTTGAAAAGAGTTTTTCCTGAGGCAGCACATGGTGTTTGCTTTTATCACTTGAAGGGCAATATGAAAGCCTCATTTAAGTTGAAGAAGCGGGATCCGATATTGGGGTTTTTTGTGCGGGCGGCTAAGTCTTACCGTCTAGCAGAGTTCAATCGTTATTTCTCCATGATAAACAACGAGCGAGTGCAAACTTATCTAGTACGTGCAGGGCTCCATAAGTGGTCTCGAGCCCATTGTGATGGACGACGATATAATGTCATGACAACTAATATTGCAGAGTCCATTAATTCAGTTCTTCGTTTTGCAAGGATGCTTCCGGTGGTACACTTGATCGAGGAAATTAGGAATATGCTTCAGAATTGGTTTAGTCAACGTCGAGATTTGTCAATGAAATGTAAATCTATGTTGTGCCCTGATTTAGGTGAAAAGAAGTTGAGGAAGAGATTAGACGCTGCTTCGAGGATGAATGTGGTTAAAATCAATGATATGGAGTATAATGTGCTTGATGGTGATATGAACGGTCTCGTGCACTTGCAAAACTATAGTTGTACGTGTAGGAAGTTTGACTTAGAGCAACTCCCGTGCAAGCATGCTATTGCGGTATGTCGGCACTTGAAATTGAACCCATACTCATTTGCCTCTTCGTATTACACTCGAGCTACATGGGCAGCTGCATATGCTGAATCCATTTATCCTGTACCACCTCAAGGGACATGGGTTATTCCCGAAAATGTCCAAAATGTAAATCTCCTCCCTCCTATTTCAAAGGTTATGCCGGGCCGTCGTAAGACGCAAAGAATACCTTCTAAAGGAGAGGACTCGCGAGAAAGAAAATGCTCAAGGTGCGGTGTGAAGGGCCATTATCGAAGTACATGCAAAGAAGCTATTCCCGTCACTAACAAGAAGCAGATCATTTAGATATTACAATTGTTTAGTTTGTATGTCTTATTCCATTAAGTGGTGATATTTGCTACCTAACTTTATGTAAAATTTGTGTTCCTAACATGTCGCTATTTTTGTTTTTGGAAATAGGTATCCTTATAGGTACCCAATTGTATAGATCATGATGCAGCTATTTATAACATTTATTGAATGTGTATGTATGATGTTTATGTGCATGATTGGTGTAGACACGTAAAGCAGGTGGCTAGAAATTTAAATTGAACTGTGGTGCAATACAAGGGCAGTGGAATAAAGGGGCAATACAAAGAATTCATAGTCTAACTACAATTTTTTTGCCAAGACATACATTAAGGAAAAAAAAAGTGCTAAGACTGCAATAGAGCAACGATAGGAACACAATAAAAGGGCAATAAGAAGGCAATACGTAAACCTGGAAGTCCAACTTTAGCTCTATAATTGTCAAGACAGAGGTGAAAAAGGGGTTAAAACAGCAATATAGGTACAATAGGAAAGCAATATAAGGGCAATAAGAAGGCAATACTTAAACTTAATAGTCTTTCAACTTTGTAATTGCAAAGACAAAGGTGAAAAACAATGTGCTAAAACAACAATAGAGGAGCAATAGGAACACAATAAAAGGGCAATAAGAAGGCAATACGTAAACCTGGAAGTCCAACTTCAGCTCTATAATTGTCAAGACAGAGGTGAAAAAAGAGTTAAGACAACAATAGAGGTACGATAGGACAGCAATATAAGGGCAATAAGAAGGCAATACTTAAACTTGATAGTCTTTCAACTCTATAATTGCAAAGACAACAATAGAGGAGCAATAGGAACACAATAAAAGGGTAATAAGAAGGCAATACGTAAACCTAGAAGTCCAACTTCAGCTCTATAATTGTCAAGACAGAGGTAAAAAAGAGTTAAGACAACAATAGAGGTACGATAGGACAACAATATAAGGGCAATAAGAAGGCAATACTTAAACTTGATAGTCTTTCAACTCTATAATTGCAAAGACAACAATAGAGGAGCAATAGGAACACAATAAAAGGGCAATAAGAAGGCAATACGTAAACCTGGAAGTCCAACTTCAGCTCTATAATTGTCAAGACAGAGGTGAAAAAAGAGTTAAGACAACAATAGAGGTACAATAGGAAAGCAATATAAGGGCAATAAGAAGGCAATACTTAAACTTGATAGTCTTTCAACTCTATAATTGCAAAGACAACAATAGAGGAGCAATAGGAACACAATAAAAGGGCAATAAGAAGGCAATACGTAAACCTAAGTCCAATTTTAACTCTATAATTGCAAAGAGAGGTGAAAAACAAAGTGCTAAGAAGGCAATACGTAAACCTCTTAGTCCAACTTTAGCTTTGTAATTGTCAAGACAGAGGTGAAAAAAGAGTTAAGACAACAATAGAGGTACGATAGGAAAGCAATATAAGGGCAATAAGAAGGCAATACTTAAACTTGATAGTCTTTCAACTCTATAATTGCAAAGACAACAATAGAGGAGCAATAGGAACACAATAAAAGGGCAATAAGAAGGCAATACGTAAACCTAAGTCCAATTTTAACTCTATAATTGCAAAGAAAGGTGAAAAACAAAGTGCTAAGAAGGCAATACGTAAACCTCTTAGTCCAACTTTAGCTTTGTAATTGTCAAGACAGAGGTGAAAAAATAGTTAAGACAACAATAGAGGCATAATAAGAAAGCGCAATACATAAACTTAAGTTTACATTGCGAGGCTACTTATTAGCTAAACATATACAGATGCAGTTTCTCTATCCACTCTAGTTTCATGGTTACTAATTCATGAAACCACAACTAATAAATAAGGAATAGCTGATCACATCAAAGCACAACTAATATCCAATTCCACTCCTATTACAACAATGTTTATGTGGTGAAACAAAACTGGTGGCGCATCTTCATTTCTCAAGCCATCTTCTAACTGTGAAGAAACCAGTAGCTTTTGTCCAATCTCGAACCTTCAAGTGATGAGCTGTGTTATGAAGGTGATATTCTCTCGCATGTGTAGTTCCCCACTCCCCATTTCTGCAACATTCCCAATTGCTTTTTATTCACCAAAGTATGACAACAAAACTAAAGATTCAGAAAAGTGCAAGTATAAACATTAAGTTAAAGTATGTGACTTTCTCACATTTGTAATTGGAATCATTTAGTTTCTAACATTTGTTATTGTATTACCAAAGCTTCCTACATAAATTACAATTCTTCTCACAAGACATTCATGCCCTATTACATACAAAATTCCTAGACAAATTGGCAAGGAGCTTCCGAACCTAGAACACCAACAAGAGAAAATCGCAAAAAGTGGAACACATAAAGCACAAAGAAATTGTCAAACAAAATAAGAGGCACAGAACCAGACATCAAAACACCTCAAAGGGTGAACTTAATCAATATAACCAAACAACATCCATAACAGTAATACACAGAACAATAATGGGGTAATGTGGAATTGTTTGACTCAAGAAGCTCCACATGTAATTTATAAGCTTCCTAAAGAAGGCAATAGTGAACAGAACAACCAAAATTTTCTGAAGCAGTATATATCAGGGGAGGTCTACTTAATGCTCTTGCAATACTTCAAATTTTGGTCAAGGATCTCATGAAGATACCTATTTTCAGCTTTCCCATGTTCTGATAAATAATAAAATCAATAGCAACAAGACCTATTTGCATCCATATCAGGTTTTGATAAGGCAAATGCAACAATTTCGAATTCAAAATTCATACACTTCATATAAGGAATTTCAGCAGAAAACATATCCGGAAGCATATTAAGAATCACTATATCAATACTCAATAGAAACCCACATGATACGAACTGAAAAATACAAAAGACTATCATACCTCAACCATTAGAGAAAACCACAATTTCACATCTCAAAACACTAGCATACCTCAACCATTAGCAACACTAAACAAACCTCAACAAAAACTCCAACAACTCGTTAGTCAGAAAGAGAAAATTAACTCCCTTTCGCAAAGCCCAAAACACTATTAACGAAAATCATATTTTGTCAAACACTCAAAATCCTATATCAGCACCACTCAAATTCCCATATAGAAACACCACAATTAAGCAATTAAAGCATAACACTCCATACGCATGTATACATATATAAACATATATATATATATATATATATAGAGAGAGAGAGAGAGAGAGAGAGAGAGAGAGAGAGAGAGAGAGAGAGAGAGAGAGAGAAGGAGAGGGATAGGGAGAGGGAGGGGGAGAGAGGACTGTAGCGAAAAATGGAGCCCATGAATGCCCCACCAGCGGAGTCTCCGCCAAACTTGAGAAGGCAGACAGCAGGGCCATTGTAGGAGGCGAGGAGGGTTTGAAGAAGTAGGGTTAGGGTTAAGGTTTGGATTGGTAATGAGCTCAGTGTCGGTGTCCAGGTCAGACTTTGGAGAATCCATCGACGTCATCGCCATGGCCGTTACTCTCTCTGTTTTCTATGAAGTCATGGCTAAGCAAGATTTGGGAGAGTGCGAGAGTGGAGAGGAGTTGGGTTTCAGAAAAATGAATTTTTGATGGGATAAAGGGTCAATACAAATGTATTTATATGGAGGGAAATTGGGTACTTTCATGTTACAAAGTGAGTATTTCTGATTGAAATTTATAAAGTGAATATATTTGATTATGGTTTATCTTTTGTGATTATCCAAGTTAATTTCCCAAAACAAAATGTACCAAAAAAAAAGATAGGCCAATTTTCTTTCTTCGTTTTTTCCCCGAAGATAGGGAAAATATATTTTTTGGGTTTCCTATCAACGCTAGACATAATAAAGATGGATTGATTCTGTTATCGCCCATTTCATTAGGAAAAGTACTAAAAAAAAGTGTTGATGGAAAAAAAGGAAACAAAACTTTCCCATTGTGCCAAGGAATGATTTTAAATTTCTACAGTTGACAATTCCCTTAACGAACAGGTCTCTATCTATTTATATATATAGGAGGACCAAAACCTTACAACATACAAAATACAACAAATTGACAAAGATAATGAGAGAAGCAATGTCTGGGATGATGATGCTTTCACTTGTTGTTCTCCTGGTTTTTCATGTTTCTGCTTCATGGGCAGCCTCAGCTTCTGTCTATGACAACTTTCTTCAATGCCTAAACACCAACACAAACCCATCATCAACCCAATTGTCCAACATAATCTATGCCGAAAACAACCCTTCATACTCGTATGTTCTAAGAGCCTACATCAGAAACTCAAGGTTCAACACCACTTTAACCCCAAAAACAGTCCTAATCGTCACACCCTCAGCTTCATCTCATGTTCAAGCCTCTGTTGTCTGTGCCAAACAACTTGGCATATAGCTGAGAATCCGAAGCGGCGGGCACGATTATGAGGGCCTTTCATACTGGTCTAATCAGACCTTTATTGTCCTTGACATGTTCAACCTCAGGACTGTGACTGTAGACATTGAGGACAGCTCGGTATGGGTTCAGGCTGGAGCCACACTTGGAGAATTGTACTATAGGATTTCAGAGAAGAGCAAAGTTCATGGCTTTCCTGCTGGTGTTTGTCCCACAGTTGGTATTGGTGGGCACATAAGTGGTGGTGGCTGCTAAAATATAAAAACTATGAGAGAATATTTGTTTGTGGAAATTTTTTGTGTATTCTTCTCTTTGTAGGAGGTCATATTTATAATACAACAAAACCTGAATGGGCAAGTAAATAATAAATTCCTAAATCTATTTATAGTAGGAGATCAGGAATTAAAGTAAATCAATTACAATTACAATAGGAATCCTTGGTGTGTAAGGAAAGTAAGTTAATATCCACAAGTCACGCCAACATTCCCCGTCAAGTTGGTGCATAGATGTCGCCAGTGCCCAACTGATCCAGTGAATTGTGGAATGCTTTACTGGAAATCGCCTTTGTCAAAATATCCGCCAATTGATCCTTGGATTTCACCAAAGGAAATTGAAACACTTTAGCCTCAAGCTTCTGTTTGATGAAGTGTCGATCCACCTCAACATGTTTAGTACGATCATGTTGAACCGGATTCTGTGCAATGGCTATAGCAGCCTTGTTGTCACAAAAGAGATTCATTGTGGATGTAGGTTTATACCCAAGTTCAGTAAGCAACTTTCTTAACCAAAGAAGTTCACAAATCCCTTTAGTCATGCTCTGAACTCGGCTTCTGCACTGGATAAAGCTACTACATTATGTTTCTTGCTCCTCCATGTCACCAAATTACCTCCCACGAATGTGAAGTAACCCGATGTGGATTTTCTATCTATTACATTACCTGCCCAATTTGCATCTGAATAACCATCAATATTTAGATTACCATGCTTTGAGAACATAAGTCCTTTTCCAGGTGCAGACTTCAAATATCTAAGTATCCGAAGAACTGCATTCATGTGGTCTTCACTTGGAGAGTGCATAAATTGACTGACAACGCTCATTGCATAAGCAATGTCTGGTCGAGTATGTGACAAATAGATCAATCTTCCTACTAACCTTTGGTATATTTCTTTGTTAGTTGGAACTTGATCCGGATATTCTCCAAGATGATGATTCTGAATAATAGGAGTGTCCGCAGGTTTGCAATCTAGCATTCCTGTGTCTGTCAAGAAGTCCAAGACATATTTCCTTTAAGAGAGAAATATGCTTTGCTGCGATCAAGCCACCTCAATTCCCAAGAAGTACTTGAGTCCACCTAGATCCTTCATCTCAAACTCAGTAGCCAAATAGTTTTGTAGCTGTGATATTTCCTGTTTATCATTCTCAGTAATAATCATATCATCAACATAGATTATTAATGTTGTTACCTCCCTTTTTCGATGTTTCAAGAACAGAGTATGATCTGAGTTGCACTGTTTGAAACCATTGTTCTTCATTGCCATGGTGAACTATCCAAACCATGCACGTAGTGATTGTTTGAATCCATACAATGCTTTTCGTAACTTGCAAACTGTTCCAGTCTGAGTAGTATTATATCCAGGAGGAATGTCCATGTACACCTCCTCCGTGAGTTCGCCATGTAGAAAAGCACTCTTTACATCAAACTGGTGTAGTGGCTAATCCAAATTAGCTGCAAGGGACAATAAGACTCTAACGGTGTTTAACTTTGCAACGGGAGCAAAGGTTTCTTCATAGTCCATACTGTTGGTAATTTTTAACAACAATATTAAAACCTTGCAAGTGCACAAATCAAATGATAGTCTAGTAAGCAAGCAAGGGTCATTCCCACAGAGATTGTAATCTAGAGAGATGTTTATCAATGTCACGCAACGAAAATTAAAACACAAGGACTTCCACACACATGCCAACACCAAGGGGGGTTTTGATTTGATTTTGTGAATATAAAAAACAAGGAAAACAAAACAAAACAGAATTTAAATTAGAGTCTAAGAGAAATTGATTTAAAATCAGTCAAGAATAATAGCTAGGACTTACTATCCACCTCCAAACAATCAATCAATCCATAAACAACAATAGATAATCAATTTCTAGCAAGCATATGATGACGACATTCACAACAAGATCATGGCATTTGACTCGCGTTGTATGATTCTCTCTTAAGTGCATGTAAAGTGTATGGCATTTACATCAATACGTGCATTCTTAATTGAAATCTAGTATGACATTTACTCAAATTAACAATCAAGAATCCATTAAGATCAAAGAGAATATGAGTGTCACAAAAACCCTAAAACATGGCATTTGTTATTAGGAATTCAAGAATCGATTTCTCATAACTAGTTCTTAACCCAATTATTCGTTGCAAACAAGAACACATTCAATATGGCAATTGACCTATGTTCTACAACAATTTAATTCCAATACATGCTTCAAAGTTAGCTACTCAAAAAAACAAAATATTAGAATTCACATAACATAGAGAAACCGAAATTATCACGCATGTAGAAACTGAAAATCCATTCAAACTTGTTTATAAAATTGAAATAATGTTTAGGGCTTCAAGATTAAGCCCTAACTAACAAGAAATTAGTTACTCATGTTCTTGGATGAACTCAAAAATAAATACATAAGAACTGAAACTTAAAAGAAGAAAGGAAAAGAAAGAACTCGTTGGCAGCTTTCTCCTCTTGCGCGGTTGATCTCCTTAGGACGTGAATGACTTGTATCCGGGGCCTTGGCTGGCCTTTTATATCACTTATATCAGAGTTCTAAACCCTAAAATTGACTGACAAGTCGTCCAAGAAGTCTTGGTAAACAAGGAATCCAAATACGAAAGTAAAAATCACAATTCCTAACTCCACAGGGAAATACAACTCGCCCAATTGCCACACGATTTGGGGATCTTCGGCCTTGTAGAAAAATCATTAAAAATATATTTTAGAAAGATAAATGTCTTATCTTTCCAACCATATATAGCACGTAACTTGGAAAATTCTGGAAGGCTTCCGTTTCTTCACATTCACGTAACCTGTATGAAACTATCCTGTCTGCACGTGAGCTAACTTTACTTGTAATACTGTACCAATTGGCTTGGTAAAAAATTCTAGAAAAATCATAGATTGAACTTCAAGATGTTAGCTTTCATCTCCAATTGGCCTTGCGCTAAAATTCCTCCGAAAAGTTGATTTTTCCTTAAAAACCTTCTAAGAGCGCAAAAAAGCTGAAAATCAGAAAAGTAAAGTAATAAGCCCTTTTTAAATCTAATTCTCCTACAAAACCTAAGTAAAAAGAGTACATAAATGAGTATATTTATGGACTTATCACATACCATAGGTCTGTGTGTACCCTTTTGCCATAAGTCTTGCCTTGTATCGCTCGATAGATCCATCTGCATTGTGTTTTATAGTAAACACTCATCTACATCATATAGTCCTTTTTCCTTGTGGTATAGTCTCCAATGTCCAAGTACGATTTTTCTCAAGAGCTTTCATCTCCTCTTTTATAGCTTGGACCCACTTAGGATCTTTCAATGCTTCAGAGACCTTGGTTGGAATATGAATAGCAGACAACTGATGCACAAAAACCTTGAGTGGTTCAGACAGCTTCTCAGTGGATACATGATTTGCAATTGGATACTTGGATGTCTTGCCAATATCAGGTAAATAACGGTTTGGTGGCTTCTCACAATTTTGCCTGAAAGGTAATTGATATCCAATAGTTTTATCCTCTAAATGCACAAGTCTAGTAGGAGTAGTTACCTCAAGGATATTCTCAAGAGATTGGTCTGTTGGTACTGTTGAGTTAGAGGGGGCTCTTCATCTTGTTGTTCTGTATTGTCTGTAGGTGTGAGACTCGGATCAGAAATATCTTCGCATGGATCAAGTGGGTCAGGCAATTGATCGCTATGAATGGGCGATTGATCGCTTGTCGGCAGAGAGTAATCTCATGCTCTAGACTCAGGAAGATCAATCAATTTTGTACTGTCGGCAGAGAGATATTAGTTAGTTCTTAGCAGATTTGCAACCCCTCAATTTTGTACTGTAATTGGTAGAAAGAATTTTTGTTCGAGCTTTTTGTATTTGGAAATTTAATTTATTTTTTCACATGCATCTTCATCTTCTCCAAGATACAAATCAATAGATACTTTAGAAACAAGAAAGTGAATATCTGTACCAATCCCCTAGAGAAAAGATAAGAGAGTATAATTCACAGGGAAAGTTTCGACGTCCAACAACCAAGCTCACTTTGCCTCCAACCAAGACTTCTTCACCTTGAATCATCAGCACCAATACAATGACAATCCGTATTACAAAAAATGACCTTCAGTGACTCCACCCCACTCTCTCTTACAAAGAATTTTTCCCTATTTCTTCTATTTTCCACAAAACAATTTGAAAGGAATAAAAGTATATAAACCCAGGGAGACCATGATTATAGATTCCAGTGAAGCTATCTGCATGTGTTTTGTGATATTTTTAAAACATTGGTAGCCTTTATAGGTCACATTACAATGACAAGGATTTGTCCTTTTTTTCTGGTGAAATCCTATCATGGACCAACAATGCCAAAGGCCCAAGGAACAACAAGTGGTGCAGATGGATGGGAGTTTCTTTATGATTCAGGATACTTGTCCTTAAAATTGAGTTTCAGCGTTTCTGCCTGCATTTTGATAATTGAAAGCAAGAAATATTAGACTGGATTGGATCCACATAATTGAGACTCATCTGGACGAAACTGAGATTAAAGGAAAAAGTAATGAATGTGTCAATCGTAGTAAAGAGGTTTAATTCTTACGTATTTCAGCCAGCACTGTCCAAGTCTATGCCCATAGATATCTGGAGAATGGCAACAGGTTTCAAACGGGCAGTATATCCATATATTACATCTCTTTTCATTAGGCTTGGCACGTTATCAAGCTAAACGCTAACCGGTGAAAAGTTAAAGCTAAGGCTAGTATCTTAATTTAGAGATTCATCATAATCTGTATGAACTTCCGCATGGCATTCAGATGGAGAAATTATAGAATAGTACGGATGTACCACGTCAACATATAATACTTTCATTCAAATTTTAACACGTGTCCATTTTTGAAAAGAAATTAATTACTTTATTACAACTGGACTTACTCTCCCTTGCTCTTCCTGTCAAATTCCTAGGGTGGCGTTTGTAGCATGTTTCAGAGTATGCTTCAACTCAATCCACATCGGCTGTGCCTTCCATTGATTTTTTGTTGCAAAGTGAGAGTGTACTAGACAGTGTTTGTAGCAAATTCAATGGTGCAAGTGAACAAAGATGTGTTGTGTTTGGGATTTGTGGATGCTAGGTTGTGCCCAAGTAACCCAAGGTGCTGACATTGTGATCAGAGCGCATCAATTGGAGGACAATCTTCTGCAATTTGATTTGGCTAATAAAAGACATGGGTTCAAAATAGGATTCTAAGGTGAATTGTGTGCTGAGCATCCGATTTTGAAGAAGGAAGGAGCAAGGGAGATGGGTGGCACAGGGGTTGGGGGTTATGGGTGGTTAGGGGTGGGTAGGGTGGGTTGTTGGAAATATTTTTTTTTTCTTTTTCTTTTTTTTTTTTTTTTTTTTTTTTTTTTTTTTTTTTTTTTATTTTTTTATTTTTATAAAAGGTTAAGTAAGTCTAGCTGTAATAAAGTAATTAATTTCTTTTCAAAAATGGACACATAGCGAAATTTGAATGGGAGTATCATACGCTGACGTGGTACATTCGTACTATTCTATAATTTCTCCTCTAGCAGAAACAATAATAATAATAATAATAATAATAATAATAATAATAATAATAATAAATCTCTCAACATGACATTTGGAGTTTTGTAAGGGAAAATAGAATGTGAATTTGGGGGGGTTACTGCATCATGGACAAATAAGATTATTTTGACCAAAAAAGAAACATACACAGTTCACAAATAATGACCACACTTGCTTCCTCATGAAGAACTGTGGAATTTGACATAGAGTATATGACACAAGTTTACCATATCTCGAGAATATGACGTAGAGTATTGAATTAAAGAAGGATCGAATTGCATTGTAATCACAAACTGATTAGGTTCTCTAAATGAATTCTTTTTAGCTTAGGTAGCCATGACATACTGCTAGGTGTCACTCATGGCTTATGGAAACCATGTAAGAACTAAATATAATTAGCCTTTGCCAATAGGGATAATTGTATAGAGGGATACAATACACACTTGATTTAGAATGAATCATTCATACCCACTGCCTCACTAATTAGAACCTATAAGATCGCACAAGAAAAGGAATCGATTGGAAAATTTTGAAGAGAATGAATGATTTTTTGACTTGGTCAAAGTCAATATGAAAGTCAAAGATCAAAGGTCAAAAGTCAAACGGTTGACCCGACACTTGACACGGTCAACTAAGGATGATCGGAACTAACACTCATTAGAGAAGTGAATGATTGAATTAGTCAAGTCACTAGAGTAATTAGATT